GCTGCAAGCTCGGGCTCCTGCGTCCGCGCACCGCAGCCAGGACTGCGTGCCGCGCGCGCCGCCCAGGCCTCTAACTTCGCGCCGGGTTGGCAGAGGTTAAGTGAGGGGACGTGCGTGGCCGGCGCCGCGAGGGGGACGTGCCCGGGCGTTGACGGGGGCGGGGAAAGCGGGGCGATTGGGAGGCGATTGGGAGGCGGGAGACCCCACGCGCGGGAAAGGTGGGCGGGGAACAGCTGAAGGCCTGGGGCTGGTGGGTTTTGTTTGTTTATCCGTTTCCACTCACGCCTGCGCAGTAGCCGCTTCGCCGCCCTGGGGCCGACCTCCCGCTCCGCCCCCTTCCCAGCGGGCGCCTTCACCCTCCCCTTGGCTACCTCTGTCAACCAATCAGAGCCCGCTGCGGTTTCGGAGCCCGAGGGGCTTGGGGATTGGCTGCGGCCGGGGAAAGAGCTGTAGTTCTATTTGGCTTTCAAGCTGCCTTGAGGAATCCGGCTGGAACCGGTCTGAGACTGTGCGGGGGGAGCGGGTGTGGTTTTAAGCGCCTGGCGGGAAAGCAGGTGCCGGGCGCTTCCTCGCTCGGGTCCTGTTCTTTTTCTTTATTCCCAATAAAACTAGACCGCATACCCTTTGTTCGTTCAGTTAACCAATACTTGTTGGGTACCTGATGTGTCCGTGGTCTAGGGGCCCGAGGAGACTGACCAGGACCGGCTGCATAATTTGGGGGGCCTAGTGCAAAATTTAAACGCAGAGCCCCTTGTTCCGAGGTCATCAAGAATATCAAGACGGACCGCAGAGCAAAAGCCAAGCACGGGGACCTTCTAAGCATGGGACCCCTGCCCGCTCTGCTGCCCATCGAAGAGCCACCAGCCTGGAGGGAGGAAGGCGCAGCCTGTAGAGGAGCCTGCCCAAGTGGAGTATTTCCAGATGGGGAGATGAGGTTGAAAAACTAGATAGGACAAGAGTGAAAGATTAAGAATGTTAGTAATTTGGGGTGCGGCGCTTGGGAGCGCAGTGGCGCTCCCGCCGCAGGTTCGGATCCTATATAGGGATGGCCCGTGCGCTCACTAGCTGAGCGAGGTGCGGGGACACCAAGCCAAGGGTTGTGATCCCCTTACTGGTCACAAAAAAGACAAAAAAANGGGACCTTCTAAGCATGGGACCCCTGCCCGCTCTGCTGCCCATCGAAGAGCCACCAGCCTGGAGGGAGGAAGGCGCAGCCTGTAGAGGAGCCTGCCCAAGTGGAGTATTTCCAGATGGGGAGATGAGGTTGAAAAACTAGATAGGACAAGAGTGAAAGATTAAGAATGTTAGTAATTTGGGGTGCGGCGCTTGGGAGCGCAGTGGCGCTCCCGCCGCAGGTTCGGATCCTATATAGGGATGGCCCGTGCGCTCACTAGCTGAGCGAGGTGCGGGGACACCAAGCCAAGGGTTGTGATCCCCTTACTGGTCACAAAAAAGACAAAAAAAGACAAAAAAAATAAAAGAATGTTAGTAATTTGGACTTTATCCTACAGGCAGGAGTTAGTTCTTTGAAGTCTTTTAACTGGAGAGGAGTGAGTTAAAGCAATGTTTGATGACTATTGATCTGGCTTTGGAATGTTAGGTAAATTGGGAGGCAAGAGGAGGGAGACTGTCAGAGGCTATTTAGATAATAACACGTTAAGCGTTAAGCGTTAAGCGATAAGGACCTGGGCCAGAGTGATAGTGATGGGAGTAGAAGGAAAAGCTCCTGTTACAAGGGGAGAATCAAATGGCAGTGCAAACCCTAGTGTTTAATTCCTGCTGCTCCTTAGATCCTCTTAGTTTGTCTCCTCTCTTAGCTCCTTTGTGGTCCTGGTACTACCAGTAAATAACTTTTGGACTTTGGGCAGGTTACTTCATCTTTGTGGGCCAAAGATTCCTCATCTGTAAAAATGAGGAGGTTGAACTAGAGTGATACCAAGGTTCTACCAAGCCCAAATTGATTCAGTGAATCTGTGACTTTTCTCAACTAGCCACCAGCACCGGCATTCATTCATGGGTTCGCTATATTTATTGAATGCCTACCATGTGCCAGAGAGAACATTACACTGGGAATATACACCATTGAGTCTGATAGATGTTTATTTTTTAAAATTCTGTCATTTAGCCCTTCTGACCAGGAACTTTGCCTTGCAGCAGCTACTAATACTGACTTATAGGCTGGCCAGTTAGCTCAGTTGGTTAGAGCATGGTGCTGATAACACCAAGGTCCAGGGTCCCATCCCTGTACCCACCAGCCAGGAAAAAAAAAAAGTGACTTGTAGTATAAGTAACCTCTTAACTTCTGTGGGAGGTATAACTTGGACATCATCAGGGTCCTTTCTATTCTTACTATTCTAATGCTTCGTAATTCATTAGATGTTAGGAAGGAAGAAAAGGGAGAAGTGACATGACACTTAATGTTTGAAGCCTGGATAAGTAGAAGAAATTGATCCATTTGACAGAAAAATGAATAGGGAGGACCTGTTTGGTATCAGTCTATGAGTTTTGTTGTGTACATGTGAAATTCAGACCTTTTTACTTCCCACTTAACAGATAACTCAGATATTTGGTTCTCTCCCATTTCCAGCTACAAACATATACATTGACATCTTCTCAGTTGAGATTCCTTTGTCCATCCTTATTTTGGATCCCGTCTCTTTCCACCTCCTCAAAAATATTGCTTCATCAAGTTATCCTCTCATGTATATCTTGAATTCTTCCTCCCTACTTAATTTTCCTCTTCAGTGTTTAAACGTCCTCATGTCTATGATATCTTTTTGAAAAATTTTTAAATAAAACAAAGAACCTTCTAAGCCCTAGTTTTTTACACATTGCCTATCTTCCCTTTACAGCTAAGATTCTTGAGAGTAGTCTGCTCATCATTGCCACATCCCTCCCCCCAATTCATCCCTCAACTTGTTGTAATCTAGCTTCTGCCCACCACTTCACTAATTACTGCTATTTCCAAGGTTACCAAATGATCTCTCTCTCCCTCCCTCTCTCTCTCTCCTCTCTCTTTCTCTCTTTGTCTCCCCCCCCGCCTCCCTCCCTTTCTCTGTAAATATATGCATGAATGCCTAGCTCTGAGCCCATTACAAAGTAGACACTTGGCACTACTTCTATTAGCTCTTTTCCCCTTTCATGACTTCAGTTACTACCAACATCTTTAGTCCAGATTGTAATCGTGAGCTTCAAATCCTTATTTCTAGCTTCCAGTTGAATATTTCTTGAGTCGTACATATACAGCACAATGGAGATCAAATTATATTTCAGTGTCTGCTATGGGCCAGGTACCCTGCTAGGTGCTAGAGATTAAATGATAGATAAAAAGAGTCCCTGCCCTTGAGGAGCCTAAAGTCTATGCAATAATAGAGTTATACACAGAGTGCTATAAGAATTTGGAGGAGCAGACCTTCGCTCAGCCTAAGAAGAGTTAGGGAAGGCTTTCTGGAAATGTCATGAGCTAAGCCTTAAATAATGAGTAAAGTATTAGCCAGCATCAGCAAGAGTGAAAAAGGAATTCAGCAGAATAAACAGCATGAGAAAAAGCATAGAGGCAATGAAATAACAGTTCTAAATTGTTAGGGAATTTAGGGGGAGGCAGACAACGATGGGAGGTGAGCCTAGAGAGCTAGACAGGAGAAGGGCTAGCTGATTAGCCCACTTGGGAGAGTGTGGTGCTGATAACACCAAGGTCAAGGATTCGGATCTCCAAACTGGCCAGCCACTGATAAAATGTATATACAAACTTGTGATTCATTGGAGAGGTAGATGGGGAAAAGACCATGGAAAATGTTATATCCATGTTTCATATGCTGGGAAGTGACTAAAAGGAGAAAATGACATGATTAGCTTTGCAAAAATTATGAAACAGGAATTTCTCAGAAGAAACCCAAACACTACCTGAAAAGATACTCAACCTTTTTAGAAATTAGAAAAACACAAATTAAGGTCATAGTGAAATAGTATTTTATATCCACTAGGTTGGCATAAATTAAGAAATCTTGGTAATACTCTAATTGTTAGAAAACTATTATATCACAAAGTCATTAGGCTAAACATTCACCAGTCGTTTCAGTAACTCCTCCAATACCA